GTTTATTGCCAGTAATGCGTCAAAATGCGGCACATGCAGCGGAGTAACAGGACACCACAGAGACAGCCATGCACACCGCGTGCGCATCAAACCCATTAAAGGGACAAACCGTCTATCCGTCGTTGACTGAGCGTCCATCGCCGTCGCACACATTCCTTATCGGCCGCAACGTTCCCTCCACGCGGAGTGTTTCGTCTGCTCTCCTCGCGGCGTGGCAACAATTGTGTGACCGGCCACTTAACAGCCACCAATTGCGCAGCGCCCGTCCCAGGTGCGGGAGCATCGCACAGCGTCCGCTCTTTCTATTCCGAGAGCTCATAGGGGTAACGCCACCGCACGGTAACCTCATTATAATGGGCAGCCCTGAGGCGGAGATGGAAAGAGTCGTGCAAACAAATATATTTTTACTCTTTCTTGCGGTGCTCAAAAACAAGCGTGACGGCGTTGCAATTATCATGACGGTTCCTTCCCGCAATGCCACTGGCCAAGGAGTCACTGTGAACTCACTGCGTGGAAGTCACCGTGTTCGCCGTTACTCCCTCCAACTACCCACGACCGCGCCGGCCATTCCCACACGGCGGATATGAGCGTTGCCAAAGACAGCTACAAGCACCAACACACCGGGCTCCACAGTGCCCTCCATCGCCATCCGCAGCGTGCATGCGTGCTTTTTCAGCGTACACACCGCTCCACAGCGTGTGCAACATGGCTTGTCTGTGTGTATCTGAGTGTTTGGCAGCGCCCATACTTGCGAAGCAGCCGTGCGGCACAAGAGAGTCCAAAGAAACCAACGGCAGAGAGAGGCAGATAGCACACACGCTAATTACTCATATCGTCCCACACACACACACACACACGCAGCCGCGGAATGGGCGCCTCAACCACAACACAAGTAAAACAATAAAACAAAACAAGAAGCCGAAGCGTGGGACGACCAGCGCACACACTCTCATTACTCCCGTAAAGCAAAACACACACACAGAGGGAGAGAGAGAGAGGTCGCCCACTCAATGCAATAAAAACAAAACAGAAACAGTTACGGTGCTCCGCCCATGCAGCCAGGCAGGACGGCAGCGGTGCGTGTCGTGCAAAAGAGAGCACCAACGGGCCTGCATGGGTGTGCATGCATACATACAATGGGCACATTATTGTGTGTGCCTCGTGGGGTGAGGTGAGGGCGAGAGTCCATGCAAGGGGACACACACAGAGAGAGAAGGAAGAGTGTGTGTGCGGGCGGTGCATGGCTCTCTCACACTCACTCTCACGCGGCCACCACCGCAGCAGCCGCAGCAGCCGCAGCAGCACACACAACAAGAAGAAGCAAAAGAGGGGAGGTGGTGCGGGAGACCCCGGTGCTGCCGTCACTGTTGACATCCTTTGACTTATCGCCAGTTTGGAGTTTATTTGTTGCTGCAACTTCTGGAGGTTGAACATTTTCAGTTGTCTTCATTCCAGTGAAGTTTTCCTGTTGAAGTGAAGGAATTCCATTTGGATGCGAGGCCGGTGCTTCTTCTTGAATGCCAGTGGATGTCCCCTGCGTTTTAACTGGGGTGGATGCCGGATTTTCGTTATTGCTTTCTTTCACGTATTTTGGTTCTTGGGCATCGGGCAAATTCGTAGATATATCGGTGTTATGGCTGTTATTCCCCTTTGTTTCTGGTGTTTTTCTTCCATGTGGAGTCTGGAGCTGTGGCGTATCTGCGTTTGGTGATCCATTTTGGATCTTTCCATTCCCTTGTGGTTGTTTATTCAGATCCTTCGATGACTCTTCTGTTTGGTGAGCCTCTGATTTCCCGTCTTGCGTCCTTCGCTCTTCCAGAGGGAATGGATCCTCGTTCCCCTGTGCAGCGGCCCTGCCAACGTTGCCGCGTTCTGCTGCATTTTCATTAGGCAACGAGTGGTGCTCAGTCTCTGCTTCTTCTGCTGGCAAAACTCCTTTTGGAGATGAACTCGGAGCATTGGATAGAATAATGTCTGTGGTCCCCTTGTCACCACCACCGTGAGGCGAAGAAATAACTCCAGAGGAAGAAGAACCAACAGAAGAACCACCAGGAGAAACAGCATCACTTCCAACAGATGGTGGTTGATGTGGCGGTAGAGCCTGATGTGGTGATTGTTCTTGTGGTATTGATTGATTTCCGTTCTGTACACCATCTTGTGGCACCTGCGTCTTGTTTTCTCCCTCTTGGGTTTTCAACGGGACTTCTTCTTCAGATTCCAAGGATTCTTTTGCATGTAGGTGTTCAGATTTGTCATCTTTTTGTTGTTTTGGTGGTAAAACTAAGGGGCCTGGTACTGGAGATGAATTTTTTGATTGTTTCGTTGGACTGTCACCACCACCACTCAAAGAAGGACCGGGTTCAGCGACAAGAACTTCATCTGCCTTCTCTTCGGCACATCTACCGCCGGCACCGCACCAAAACACGCAGAGGGCACACACCAGCAGCACACGGCCAGTCATCATCATCGCCATCACTCCTGTCACTTGCTTGTAGCCTTCAGCACAAACTAACGCCCCGTCAACGCAGAGTGAAAGCAAAGAGGAGAGACAAGTCACACAACCACGAACCGTCCCGTCCAGCAACGAGAGTCACGCACCACCACAACACAACAATTAGTTGGGCGCGGTTCAACAACAATCAAAACAAAGCAAAAGAGGAGCGCTCCTCGCCGTGCACCTTTTCTCACACTCCCACAGTCACCATTACTGTTATTCCCTCTCCTCAGACCCTCACAGGGAGTCCGTGATGCGCTCCCGCTGCGCCGCTACGTCCGCCAGCTCCTCCCTCAGTCCAGCAGCTCCGTGTCCTCCACGTCCCTCACAATCGCCGGCATGCCCCGGCCACGCAACACACACAGTGCCACAATGTCGTGCCGCCTCTCCTCTCCAATCATGAGCGCAGGGTCCAACGCGTATTGGCCCACGTGCTCCATGCGCTGCAACCACAAACGGATCAGGTTGGCTGTCATGCACTGCATCTTCTTGTCGTCCTTCTGCTTGGAGCAGACCCTCGCATCCTCTCGATCCACGGCCTGGTGCTGCAAGAAGTACGGCGCAGCAACCGTGTGTGTGCCCGTTTGGCGGCAGTCAGACTCCAACGCGTCCGGCACAACGGGGCACGGCGGCAGCTCGTCCAGTAGGTTCGGCTTCTTCTTCTTCCATCTGTGTGTGTTGGTGTTGCGGCAGGGCTGTGTGTGTGTGTGCCTGTTGCCGTGGATTGGAGTGTGTGTCGTGCGTGGTGCGCGGCGCGCAGTGCATGCCTGGCTGCTGCCCTCTCCTCATGTGGTGTGCCCTCTGTGTGTGTCTGCCGCACCTCTCGTCTCCCCTGTTGCTCTCCATGTCCCTCACTGTGCGGATCAGCTCCACACCACTGAACGACCACACTCGCGATGATGACGTGCCGTCTGCTGTGCGCCCTGTTGGTGCTCGCCCTGTGCTGCTGCCCGTGTGCCTTCACGACAGCGGTTGTTTCGGAAAAAGATGCCTTCGATGTACCCCCAACACCGCTAAAGGAGCCGGCTCCGGGGGAAATTTCTTCAGTTTCAAATCTCCCTAAAGTCTCGAACCAGGACATTGCCGGTGTCTCAGCTCAACCTGTTACGGCCGTTGCGGGAGGGGGATCAGGTGTGTTGTCCACTACACAAGATAAAATAGGAGCGCCTGGCCATTCATTGCCAGGAAGTGGGAACAACGATCTGCCACGTTCGACGGATATTCCCGATAATACGGTAGAAAAAAATACGGAGCATAATACGGAAGAGTCCATAACTAATAAAAAGGATAGGGTACAGACACCAAATACGACGAACAAAACCACCACGAGAACCACAACTACAACTACGACAACGACCACTACGACCACTACATCTACAGAGGCGCCAACCACGACGACCACCCGCGCACCGTCACTTCTTCGCGAAATTGACGGCAGCCTCAGCAGCCCTGTGTGGGTGTGTGCCCCGCTGCTGCTCGCCGCATCCGCGCTGGCGTACACCGCTCTGGGCTGAAGGGGTGTGAGCGGGCTGTGCGTGCCAGCACTCAACCGCGGGGATTTGTGCGCGTGTGTTTTGGTTCACTGTATAAAATAAGAGGAAATAATGATCTTGTTTTGCTTCACTTGCTTCTGCTGCCGTGCTGTGTGCTCCGCGTTGGTCCCACATCTGCCACGTTGAACGCGTCCCAGTCACACTCATATGCACGACATGCATGCAACTGTTTGCGTGGACGCGCCGTTGAGGGTAGTTGCATGCGCACTGGAGCCATTTGTGTGCAGGTTTCTGTTTCTTGTTTTTTTGTTTACTATTTTACTTTATTGCTGCGTGTTCGCATTTTTTGTTTTGCTTTTTTTGTGTTTTTTTCTCGTCGTTAAATTTTGACAGGGTGTTGTGCGTCTTTTGCACTTTCATTGGTTCAATATTTCTCATTAAACACGTGCTGCCGGCGGTGTTTTTTACTGTGTGACTTGTCTCTCCTCTTTGCTTTCACTCTGCGTTGACGGGGAGTTAGTTTGTGCTGAAGGCTACACGCAAGTGACAGGAGTGATGGCGATGATGACTGACCGTGCGCTGCTGGTGTGTGCCCTCTGCGTGTTGTGGTGCGGTGCTGCAGTGGTGGCGGTCGGTGATGTTATTGGAGAGGTCGGAATAAAAGAAGAATCATCGAAGGCTCTACAGGTTGATTCTCAGGCGAGGGAAGCAGGAAAGAGGGACGTAAGTGGTCCCGAAGCAGTGGTGCCACGGTTGCATGAACAGCAAGGAAAGAATGCCCGCAAGAATGATGATTCGGCCATACAACCAACAAGACAATTCAAGGTAGAAGAAGATCGGGATCATTCTGAAGAAGAAGAAGAAAAGGAAAATGAAGGATCACTCGAAGGTACGGTGAAGGATGGAGAAGTATTACCATCGCCGGCCGAAGGACAGCCAACAAGTAACGAACCACCACCACCACCAGCATCTGGTGGCAGCCGAAACGGTGTCATTTCTGGTGGAGGTTCTAAATTAGGTGAAGGTTCTAACGGAGGTGAAGGCCCCACTTTGAATTCTTCTTCCTCTTCTGGTGATGGCAAGCCACCTGCTGTTGACAGTTCAGGCTCCGGTGGTGGCACAGGTTCTGTCCCAGGTGGAAAGGGAATTGGAGGAGGAGGCACTCCTGGAGTTGAGTCTTTGAAATTTCCTGTTTCTGGTGTTGCTCTTCCGCCCTCAACCCCTGCTGCGGGCAGTGCGTCATCCGCACAGAACCTGGAACCTTCAGAAAGAAGTGGGTGGCCAGAACCAACAGCCTCTTTACGGATTGCACCACTCAACGTGGACGCACGGAAGGAATCAAAACCCAAAGATGAACCACAGACTTTTAGTGCACATGGAGAAGCGGAACGCCATGTTACTGATGAGGAGACAAGCAAAAAAGAGGCAGAAGAGAGTGCCGTTGAGGGGAAACGCCTTTTCAACCTGCCGCATACCGCCAGCAGCACACCAGCAGGACCAGCAGTACGGCTACCAGAAGGATCGCAAGTACAAGGAAATCGAGACGAAGGAGAAGGACTTCCGCCAGAAGCAACAAAATCAGAGACTTCAACAGGACAAAAACACGGAACGTCACAGTCGCAAAACGAGTCTAGAGGAACAAAATTCCCTTCAAAGAATGAAGTGGCAGTAAAACACGGTCACGTTACGGTCCCATCGGATTCGATGACGAATGCATCCGCCAACAGCCAAGGATTAACAACAGCACCATCCATATCTACAAGTGGCAGTGAAGATGCTCAGAGTACGGTGGATGGAAATACTGACGATGATCAACGACCTAACAAGAAAAAAGCACACAACAACCCCGAAGATGATAATGCCAACGTTGCTCCCACATTCAGTGAGACAGCACCAGAAACAGACACCATTCAAAAGAATGCTACATCTAAGGTTGACGACAGTGACGGCAGCACCGCGGTCTCCCACACCACCTCCCCTCTTTTGCTTCTTCTTGTTGCGAGTGCTGCTACTGCGGTGGTGGCCGCGTGAGAGTGAGTGTGAGAGAGCCATGCACCGCCCGCACACACACTCTTCCTTCTCTCTCTGTGTGTGTATCCCCTTGCATGGACTCTCGCCCTCACCTCACCCCACGAAGCACACAATAATGTGCCCATTGTATATATGCATGCACACCCATGCAGGCCCGTTGGTGCTCTCTTTTGCACGACACGCACCGCTGCCGTCCTGCCTGGCTGCGTGGGCGGAGCACCGTAACTGTTTCTGTTTTGTTTTTATTGCATTGAGTGGGCGACCTCTCTCTCTCTCCCTCTGTGTGTGTGTTTTGCTTTACGGGAGTAATGAGAGTGTGTGCGCTGGTCGTCCCACGCTTCGGCTTCTTGTTTTGTTTTTTTGTTTTACTTGTGTTGTGGTTGAGTGCACCCATTCCGCGGCTGCGTGTGTGTGTGTGTGTGTGCGATGATATGAGTAATTTGCGTGTGTGCTATCTGCCTCTCTCTGCCGTTGCTTTCTTCAGACTCTCTTGTGGCGCACAGCTGCTCTGCAAGTATAGGCGCTGCCAAACACACACACACACGCCGTGTTGCACACGCTGTGGAGCGGCATGAAGGAAGAACGCACACACAAGATTTTTGTTGCGGCGGCCTTTTCGGGGAGGGAGGGCGTGAGCTCGCCGTGCATCCCCTGGAATTGCTGCGTTTTGGCATTGGCGACGTGCATTAGTTGACTAGCGTGATGTGTCATTGAGGGCGCCTGGGATAAGTGCGCATGGTTTCTTGCCCAGCAGCTGCACGTGCCGACGTGTTCCTTCCGCAGTTGATACAGCAACGAAGGATTCTCCGTCTGTGCGGGGCGATGTGCGATGGATGTTGCGGGGAGAGAACAGTAAAACGACTGACGGCAGCGCGTGTGGGCGTTGCTCGGTGTGCGCTGACGCGTGGTGGAAGCACAAGATACCCGCTGTGGCTTTTACTGCTGGTGGCAGTCGCTGTGTGTTTCCGGTGCACTGTTCTTCCTTCTCCTGTTCCGTGTGTCTGTGTGCGTGAGTTGTTGTTGTTGGGAGTGACTGCGTTGGGGATGATGGTGCCACTCACTGTGGATGGGTGGCGGTGCTTCTTCTTTCATCCTCTTTTTTTGGCGTCTTTTTCTCTTTCTCACACACAAAGAAGGAAGGGAAGTAAGGCTAAACGCTAATCGCTACTGTTAATTCGAAGGCACTGAAAGGACCAACAACACACACACCGCCCACACACACATATTTATATGCTCTCACGTGTTGCTGCAGTGAAGGCACCCTGCACACACAACCGTCGCGGCGTGACCGGATCCAGCGGAAGGAGGAGGGAAGGAGGAGAGAGTGAGCCGCAGAGGCCCAACATGTCCCGGAATCTCTTCTACTCTGCGGTGCTGCTCCTCCTCGTCGTGATGATGTGCTGCAGCACTAGTGGAGCTGCATCCAGTAAGGACGTGCCGTCAGCTCCGGGATCTTCAAAGAAGGAAAGTTTTATTTGGAGAGACGTGAAGGAGGGAGAAAAAGCGGGTTTGCTCCGTGTTCCCAGTCTTTTTGAAATGAATGGTGATTTCTTTGCCGTTGCCGAGGCGCAGTGGAAAGAAAAGAATGGTAATGAAGGAGATTTTACTGGGATTGCCTCGCAGCTTCTAAAGTTGTCTGATGGACAAACAAGCAAGGAGTTGGATAAAAATAAACTGAAGACACAAGTGCTGGAGGAATGTTCTGCCAAAAATAAGGTTTGCGCCTCCCAAGCAGGAGATCGGGAGGCTTCCCAAAGCCGGACAAAAGTACGTGTGAGCCGACCAACAACAGTTGTGAAGGAAAGTGATATTTACATGCTTGTTGGAAGATGTAGCCGGACAGCTGCTGGTAAGAAGAGCGGAGCAAATGACGGGGGATTATTGCTGGCTAAGGGGAATGTCAGTGGTGAGAGCAGTAACAAAAGAATTTATTGGAATGGAATTGACGCTCTTCAGAGCACTTATAACACCCAACACGAATCCTTGACACGGCTGATTGGCGGCGGTGGATCGGGTGTTAAGATGGAGGACGGTACTTTTTTGTTCCCAGTGGAAGCCACGAAGAAGGATGAAAAGACCGTTTCGCTGATCCTATACTCGAAGGATACTCAGAACTGGAAGCTGTCGAATTGGATGTCTGCCGATGGCTGCAGTGATCCCTCCGTCGTGGAGTGGAAGGACAAACTCATCATGATGACTGCGTGTGATTATGGCCGCCGCAGGGTGTACGAGTCCGGTGACAAGGGGGATTCGTGGACGGAGGCACTCGGGACACTCTCGCGTGTGTGGGGCAACAAACACGATGAAAACGTGAAGCTCGTTAGAGGCGGGTTCATCACAGCGAAGATTGAGGACAGGGACGTGATGCTCGTTACTCTGCCGGTGTATGCCAATACTGAGAGCGAAGAAAAGGAAAAGGAAAAGGGTGAACTCCATCTTTGGCTGACGGAAAATACGCACATTGTTGATATTGGGCCGGTATCCGGTGATGATGAGGACGCTGCCGCCAGCTCCCTGTTGTACAAAAGTGCTGAAGGTGAAGATAGGAAGGAGGAGTTGATTGCGCTGTACGAGAATAAGAAGGGCGATGAGGAGAAATCACTCGGCATGGTCTCTGTGCGTCTGACTGATCAGCTGCAGCGTGTAAAGGATGTGCTGGCGACCTGGAATAAAGTGGACGAACGTGTCTCTCAGCTGTGCCTCAATTCACTTTCTCAGAAGGGTCTTTCAACTCAGAGTGTCTGCACTGGTAAGATCACGGCTGGGCTGGTTGGCTTTTTGTCGGGCAACTTCTCTGATAACACATGGAGGGACGAGTACCTCGGGGTGAACGCCACGGTAGCGGAGAAAGATGGGGCGCAGAAGGCGGATAAAGGAGTAACATTTAAAGGACGTGGCGCAGGGGCGGAGTGGCCTGTTGACGCGCAGGGGGAGAATCAGCTGTACCACTTTGCGAACTACAACTTCACTCTTGTGGCGACGGTGTCCATCGACAAGGTGCCGGAGGGTGATAACACTATTCCTTTGATGGGTGTGAAGATGAAGGGTGAACAAGAGAAACTTTTTGGGTTGTCGTACGAGAAAGAAAATAAGTGGCAGCTGCTGTGCGGTGACGCAACAACTAATTCTGGGGAGCTCAGCAGCATTGGGGAACCGGAGACAACACACCATGTGGTAATTTTGCTACGGAACGGCAACCAGAGCTCTGCGTACGTCGACGGTCAGCGTGTGGGTGGGGATGCGCCATGTACATTGGGAAGCACGGATTTGAGGGAGATCTCCCACTTCTACATTGGAGGCGACGGAGTCAGCGCAGAGGACAAAGAAAGCCGAGAAGGCGTGTCTGTGACCGTGACGAACGTCCTGCTTTACAACCGTCCGTTGGCATCCGAAGAGATTGCGGAGCTTGCCAAAAATAAAATTACTATTACGAAGCCGGAAGAACCGAAGAAATTGACGACACGTCCTCGTTCACCAGCGGTAAGTGCAACAGGTGTGGAGGGAACCGTTTCCTTGTCCAATGCTGCCGGGCAACAGCCGTCGGAACACGAACCGTTGACGGCGAATATTGGTGCTGGCGTTTTATCCAGTGCAACTTCCATTGCTACGACTCCCTCGCCTGACGCCGACCCAACGGTGGTGACAGTGGGTGGAGAAACGGTTCAGGGAGATGGATCACTCCAAACTCCTGGGGTGAGCGTGAGCTCTGGTGCGGATGGGGAGACGGCGGGAGGAACGGATGCGCAGCAGGAGGGAATCCATGCACAGGCCGGGGAAGTAACTGCCACGGCACTCAACAGCAGCCTTGGAAATGTGTCGCAGGGGAATAACACCGATGCCGGCACTGTGCGTGGAAGCGGACTACTGCCGTCGCTGCTTCTTCTGTTGGGACTGTGGGGGTTTGCGGCTGCGTGAGGAGTGAATGGCCTCAGTGTGGAACAATTTAGCCTTTCCCCACCACCGACGCACACACTCCTGCCAATGGATTACTCTCCGTAAAGGAAGGATATTTTTTGTGCGTTGTTTACTTTTTTTAAATACTTTAATTATTTTCATTTTTTGCTTTTTTTTTTTTTTTTGCTTTTGGGGGCAATCACTATGGACGTTTTTTTTCTTTTCTACTCTTCCCTCTTTTTATTGTTTCTTGCTGCACTCTTCCTGTGAGGGGTGCCGTGTGTTTCCGCCCAACTGCTCCACTCGCACACCCACCGACACGCTCACGACGACGGCCCTGTGCGCCTCGCCTGCTGCACGCATGAGGAGGGGCCGCGACGAACGGCGCGCTGAGGGAGCCGTGACGTGTGGGCGTGCGACGAGGGCCTGTGGGCGGAGCACACATTTCTTTCCCTCCTGTTTTGCTTCTTTGCGGCGAGGGCGGGCAGACACCCGCAGCGCCACACACACAGCCACACCCTGCCGCCGTGTTCTTTCTTTTGTTTTGTTTTTGTGTTCATTTCACGCGCTGGCAGTCCCGTCAGCATTTCTCTCCCTCCGATGATTTTTTTCTTTTGCTGCGTTCACTCTCCCGATGAAGAGACGCGACTGCCGTCATGTCTGCGTGCTTCTCTCAGTCCCCACACACGAGTGACTGTGCTCTGCGGGCCGCACTCGCACGCCGATGAGAGGGCTGAGGGGAGCAGCAGCACGCCGACGGCCCCATGAAATATAAACGATGTGCGGACACACGGAGGGTCAGACGGCTGAAAGACATTTAAATATCTTTTCAATTTTATTTTGGACAAAATATGCAGACAGTTTGGTGTGGCCACACGGCAGCCAGGCGATCTTTTCTTATTTTAAAATTTGTGTGGAGCAGTAATGGACGATTTCTTTTTTATTTATAATTATTTTGTGTGATGGGGTTTGTATAAGACGAAGGGGGACGTTTCGTTTTGTTTTAAATAAATATTGTGTGGATTGCCGCTGCTTGGGCTGCAGTGCAGTCATGAGTTTGAGCGGTCTTCTTGTTGTTTCCGCTATTCGTCTCCGCTGTACATTTTTGTGCGTCCCTCCACATACTCTGCTCCTCTTTTTTAATTCTTTTCTTTGTGTTTCTGCAGGCACACAACCACACACACAAGATGCACATTGCAGTGGATTTGAATGCTTCTTTTGCAGTGCATGCTGGCAGCTGCGTGTGGCGGCTGTTGCCTTCTTCCGTGGCCATGAGGAGAAGTGAGGAGGGAGTGTGCAGCCCGAGTCTATTTTCCTGCGGGTGTGATGCACCGCGTGCGGCCGCGTTGAGTTGGGCTCCGTGTCCCATTGATGGCGGGATGGCAGGAAATTTTGTGCCGCGTGATGGATGGATGAGGGTTCGCTTGCTCCGTGTGCGTTGTGTGGTGGCCGCGGGTTTTTGCCATTTCCCTGGGGCCGCAGGAATGAGCTGGGGGAGATGGTGGTGGATGTCTTCTCCTCCTGCATGGTGGGTGGCTGCTGGCGTTGTGTGCCCTCCTTGCGTGGATGCCGTCTCGTGGTGTGTGAACTGTGCGGCTGGGCCTGCTGCCCTCTCCTCATGTTGTCTGCTCTTTCTCGCTGCATCCGTTGGACTCCGTCCCTCTCCCTCTCGTTGCATTCTTTTCCTTTTGGCTCACGGATCAGCTCACTGACTCCAGCGACTCCACCACGGGTGACGATGGCCGCGATGATGACGGTGCGGCGCCGTGAGGTATGCGCCGTGTTGTTCCTTGCGCTCTTGTGCTGCTGCTGGGAGTGCTGGACATGTATCTGGTGATGCGGATGCGGTGGTTGTGCCGGTGGATGTGTCGTGTGCTCCGAGTGACGGCAGCCTGAGCTATCGCGTGCTTGGGTGTTTGTGGGCGTGGAGGAAGTGTTCTGCAGCCAGTGCTGAGGCTCAGTAGGAGAATTATAATTTCAGTGGCTTTGATGTGCGCATGCATGGCAGAGATGGTGAGCTGTGTGCTGTGTGTCATGTGGCCAATGCGGTGCACACATGTAGCAACTGTGCTGCCAGCTGTGCAAGGAAAGGGGAAGGGGCCACCGTTGCCTCCACGATGAATGTGACGAAACATAAATACGCCGGCCCTTATGAATTGTGGCGGCTTCAATTTTCTCCCGATGGAACCATCCATCCGCCTGCACGGAGCAGCGATGCTGACCGGACGGGCATCTGTCAGTTGCCGCCACCCCGTGAAGAGAAGGAAGACACAAAATCTGGTGGGACAACTGCGCCGCAAGTTAATGCTGAGCCGTCACATCAGAACGAGGATTGGCGATGGTCTGCGGCGGTTGACGGACCCAACGCCGTCGATCCGAGTCCCGTGTCCAACACGGCGACCAACACGTCCGAGACGAGGCCTGAGTTTGCCACCAATCCGAACTAAATGATGGTCCCGAATGCATCCAAGAAGAGGACTTCCTTTGCCAACGGTCCGAGAATATTAGTGGCGTCGAATGCATCCGGGATCATTTCTGTCACTTGTGGCGGCAGGGAACACGTTGCTGCGGATAACACGGACGAGGTGAATGAGCGCAACGCCACCGGACACAAACCTTTTGTTTTAGAAAATGGCGTTGCAGGCAGTGGATTTGTTGCTGAGAGTGATGCGGACGGATTGACTCAACGCAGTGCCTCTGGACGCGAAAACCCCAATTACGAGAATTCACCGCGCAGTATTCCGGAAACGGTGTGAGTCCCGACGACTGCTTTGCCCTGCGCTGCGACGCGAAATTGACACTGCGAGAGTTAACTGTTGACGGCACTGTGCGTGTGTGCGTGTATTGGGCGTTGCTGCTTCTTTTGGGATTGTGTAGAGTTGTGGCGGTATTGTGAGCCGAAGACTGTGGAATTGCGACTTCTCACGGAGAACATGTGCCGCGTTGCATGCGTGTTTTCTTTTATTATTTACGTTTTACTGTTTTTGTTCTTTTCCTGGAATAATAATTATCCTTGCTGTTACTTTATTCAGTGGTCGGTTGCTGCACACTCTCATGTGTGACTTATTTCCCCTACTTGTTTCTTGTTGCCCACACGCGGTGCCGGCCTCATTGGTGTGCGGCCCACGGACTGCACGAGAGAAGAAGCAGAGGAACAGGCCAGATGCCGCAATGAAATGTGAAGAGTGTTTTGTGTGGGCTGGTGGAAGAGTACGATCCTTTTTATTCAATGCGGGCAATATGTATACACAAACACATGCTCTTATTGTGCCGCTTGGGAAATAAAATAAACCTCCTGCCGAATGAATTTTATTTATTCTTTCCGAGAGTCCTGCCGGACACTCAACTTTTTTTTTCCTTGCTTAACTTCTGGTTTGCAGTGCGGTGTGCGCTGCTGGTGGGGTGTTGCCGTTTCTCACTGTGCGGCGGCTGTGCGTGGTGTAGCGGCTGTGTTTCTCATTCTTTCACTCT